AAGATGCCTGTGAGGCGCGTGCTGAATGTGCTGAATCGAGAGTTTCGCATGGAGTCGGAGGTGACCGTGGATGCATCAAGGCCATTGTTGGACAGGTTTGTTGGTGTAGGGCACTTTGTGTGTGAGTGTCTCTCTTTTTTTGGTGAGGGCTCTCCTGCAAGCGCTCTGACTTCATGGTCTGTATGGTTCTTGACCGCGCTGATCTAAGATTGCCTTGGGCTGCCTTTCTGAAGTTGCAGTCAGTCAGGTGCCATGAAAGATTCCCATTGTCTGCGTGGCTCAGGTGCATACTGCGGCAAAACTGGGAATGCAGCTGACCAGCATCTCATCAAGATGATCCGTGGAGAAGATGCTCAGAGGATCAGTCTGGCTGATGCATTCCATTGCTACAACACTTCTGCGCAGGCTGTGTGGAATGCTGAGGAGGACACTCTTGCTCACTTGCAGACACATAAGCCCCAAAGACTACTTGTCACTTGTCACTGCTTCCCTGTAAACCTTTCGCCTGAATCTGCTTGTTCTGCTGATATTGTTTCAAAGTCTCAAGTTACCTGGAAGCCCTGGACAGGCTGACGGGGGTGCACTGGTGATGCAAGCAGGAAACGATGTTGGCTACAGAGTCATGTTCCGTCAAGATGAGGACAGTGCAACTGAGGGTAGCAGTGGGGACGAAAACGAAGACAATGCTGGTCGCCCCGCAAAGTGCTTCGCCTTTGGTGCAGTGGACAGACATGGTGAGAAAGTTCCGTGCAAAGTTTATGCGGGGGATCAATTTCCGCCATCTTCGGACTGCCTTTGAGGAGACATCCAAAATCATGAAAAAGCCCCTGCAGGTGTCTATTCCAATGGGACCAAGCCGCTGGGAGGCTTTCATCAGGGCTCATCAGTTTTAGTGAGCTTAGTCCTTGCTCTGCTTGCTTATCAAATTATCAGATCATTTAAGGTCCCACCAGGATGGTTGTCTACTCAGCAAAGTTCTTGCAGCAGTCTGTCCGAGACCATTCTGTTCGATGTTTGGCAATCAAGACCTTGGGCAGGACTTCATTATGACTTCATTATTTCATGTCAGAATGGACTTGTGTTTGCAACATAGCCAATAAGGCCCTCAGGCCCCCCAACAGCAAAGGAAGTGCATCGAAGAATGCAATAGACGGATGGACACAAGCACTGGCAACAAGAGCAAGAAAGAGTTTCAGAGAAAGAAGAAGCTCATGCGTCGCTTGTTGGCTACACTAATGGATGCCCGGAATGTTGTGTTTGCTTTCATGACCGAGCAGCTGTTCCACATTCCGCGTGGTTTTGTGCCTGGTCAAGGTCAGCATGACACATAATACATAATAACACATAATACATATGTTAATTAACATTATGTTAATGTTAACCCAGATGGCGATTCTCACCCAAACAAAACCAAGTCCTGTAAGACCAGAGCGGCGTCCAAACATGCATGCATAGTGTCCTGCATCCACATGCCGCAGAAGCTGACCTGATATGCAGCCTAACCGAATTGAGTGCAGTGCATGGCTCTTGCTTGTAGCAAGGTCACATGCGCAGTGGTGGTCCAGACTACAGACTCACCATTCTTCCCTCTTCACCTTACGGTGGGCTTGACTTACCTGCACCTGTGCAAGTTGAGTGGCATCGCCTCCCCGTCTGCACGCATGTCACCTGATGACAGAAACACTGATATCAAGCCTGGCTTCCGCTGCCCAACATGTGGTTTGCTCCAGCTGACGGAAACAGATGCTGTGCAGCACTCGCGGTCTCATAAAGGCAACTTGCCACCATCGATGCTGGGCTCTATTGGGAAGTCTTGAGTTGAATTTGTTAGATGGGGGAGATTTTGAGTTCTGAAGAAGCCAAGGAGAGTTTACAGGCCCCATTTCAAGTTGAAGGCACTGGCTGAACAGGCAGTCGATGGTCGTGGCAGGTACTGGCAGACATGCAAAGCAGAGGAGGCCAAAACTGGACACTGTGATATTCCCCTGTCGGAGCTGTTGGCATGGGTGCGGCTTCTTGAACTGCTCTTGTGCTTTGTTGGTTGCTCAAGCTCATCTGAGAGCTCCTCGTCTTCAGCTCCAGCGGCAGGGTCATCCCCAACCTTCACTTCACTCTGGGCGCCTTGCCAGTCAGAATTTCAAGCTTACAAGGCAGCCCCTGATTCCATGCATGCATGAGTCCACATTCTATAGTATTGGCCTGGCCTAAGCACATATGTCTAAGTAGTGTTTTCTCCTTTGTGCTGTGCAGTAAAAATGGTGATGCAAGGTCTTCATCCCACGCCGTGTGCGGCTGTTCTGGCCATGTGTGTGGTCGCTGTGGGCACAGCTTGTTTTCAAGGGCAAGACATCCAACATAGCAGCGTGCTGGCCAGCATATGGCGATTTCTTCTGTGCAGGGTGCAAATGCAGCAGTAGCTTTAGCTAGGGGTCGGGCTGGAATAGTCAGGATTAAGTGTTTGCGCAGTGCAGGCCTTCGCATTTCCATGGTCATTTCAGCACGCAGCTGCGATGGCAGGGATTTTCTCCGACAGCGTTCGGCTGGAAATGAAGCTGTATGTTGCGCTCTGCCACAGATACAGAAAAGATGTACTGGCCTCGCATGGCAACCATATCGATGTCAGGACCAGGAATGCAGCGGCAGCCATTTTTTGGCTACCAGATTTGCTATATCGGGATGAGGAGATCCCGTTGCTTGATGATATGCCCTTTCCATGGCTGCAGGCACTGTCCCTGGTCAAAGATTATGCCTCCAGAGTTCTGCCCATGTTCAGATGGGATCTCACAGATGACACCATGGGAGGCAGAGAAGTGCCAGGCATTGCTGATGAGTATGTGGCACTGCTGCGTGCATGGAGGCAGCTGGTAAGAGTGCCTATCAATGGCACCAACTTTGACTTGAGCCAGGCATGGATTAGGAACTCAGGGTTAGAATGGATAAATGGATATGTTTTATGTTTTTCCTGTGTGAGTGGTCAGCAACAACGAGCTTTGCGTGGAAGGCGCCTCCCAGACACAAGTGGGTTGAATGGTTCAATGAATGGTGGCGGCTATGTCACACACGGCCTGAGTGGAAGCCGCCACAGACCGATGCTGCATTTGAGCTCTTTCACATGACAGGCCAGAGGCTTCCTTTCAATGCATTCCACTCCGTATGTTTCAGCTTGGGTGCATTAAGCTTGAAAATTGAAAAATGAAACTTCATGATCCTGATTCCTTCGCTGACCTTATTGCCAGGCACATGGGGCCTGTCAGAAGCAAGCGCAGAAAGCGTGGCGTCTGCTGCAAAGTTTGTTTCCCGACCGAACGACAGCACTGCAGCTATCATTCAGAAGGTCCTGTTGCGATACGCTGGGTTTGTTGGCGATGGAAGCGATGATTTGCTGATTCACCGCTGTTGGGCAGAGTACTTTGGTTCAACACACAAGGTCAAGTTTACGCTCAAGCGTCGTAGCAAGGGCTTGGCACAGGCACGCGAAGCATCTGGAGGGTCCAAGACATTGGGGAAAGTCATGAAGGCCACGCTGAAGGTGAAAAAGCGCTTGATACCTTTTGGCCGGACATTTATGGGCCAGCGCTCCAAGTGACATGGCTGTGCTTGGCACACATTGATTTCAGGGCAAAAGTAAGTATTGCATGTTCAGACTTTCTGTTGCATGTAGTTATCATTGCAGACAGGTGGCGCCAGGAGTTGCGCAGAGATCGGGTGGACTTGGAGAAGTAAATCCCATGGTATGCTGAAGCAAGTCTCTGTTTCACGAATTCCCTGACCAACTCGAAATGCCTTCTGCTAGTGAAAAGTGGAAAGTGGAGCACGTGGATAATGAATAGTTTGCAGGGTTTATTGCCTGGGGTCTGCATGGGTGGCTGTATGGTTCATTTTTCGGATTGAGGGCTTAGGGTTCAGGAGTTGGGGCCAGGGTTTTGGATTTAGCAAGGCGTGACCCCTTTGAACCCATCGCTTGTAGAAAACACGACACGGACATGGAAGCTAGAAAACCCTAAGCCCTAAACCCCAAATTACCCTTTAAACGTATTAAACACCCCAACCCTGAACCCCGAAACCCTAAAACCTGCTAATCTCCTCCTTGGCGCAGGATATGGTGATCTTTCTCCTCATCCTCATTGCCTTCGTTGTCGTTGGTCGTCGTGGTAATCCATGGTATATTCTTAGTAGTGGTGGTGGTGGTGGTGGTGGTGGCGGTGTGGTGGCGGTGGCTGTGGTGGTGGCAGCGGTGGCCGTGGAAGTCATAGTAGCAGTAGTAGTAGTAGCAGTAGTAGTAGTAGTAGTAGTAATAGTCGTATTAGTACTAGTACTAGTAGGAGTAGTAATAGTAGTAGGAGTAGTAATAGTAGTAGTAGTAGTAGTAGTAGTAGTGGTAATAGTAGTAGAAGTAGTAGTAGTAGTAGTAGTAGTAGTAGTAATAGTAGTAATAGTAATAGTAATAGTAATAGTAATAGTAATAACAATAATTGTACCAGTACCAGGCCTTACCTCAATTGGAGTGGGGGAGTGGCAGCCTCGGGGTTGCGTCCATATGCATTGTTATCTTGGTTCATATGTTTCAAAATGGAGGGGGTGGGGCTGCACTCCCCAAGCCCTCCACTTTTTTGGTTTACAACAAGCATCGTGTTCGGGATGCCCCGCCAAAAGGTAGCAGATCACTCAATGTGCTAAACTGGGGCGGGATGCGCTCCCAAGCTTTTCCTGGAATCGCTAAGGAGCAAAGCATAATGAATGGGAAATACTGACAAAGCAGAGTCATGTAGATTACGAGTAGAGGAGTCTTGATTAGATCCTTTCAATCGGAGCTCGGAAAGGCAGATCTTGGAGCTTTTGGCTTTTTGAAAAGGAACCTGCTGCCACCTCTTCGATTGCGTGTCTAGCTAGCCCATGCAAGCCATGATGATCCCAACATGCTCCCAGGACGAATTGAGCATATCTGGGCCTGGTTGTCAGAGCATCGCGAAGTAGTGGAGGGCTACGCAGTGGTTGATGACATGGATCTCTCATTCGACTTCACCGGCCAGCAACCCAGAGAGCAGGGGCCATCGTCGTGCACAGCTGCGCTACGAGCCGACAGAAACCTAGGCGCTTGCACTCAGCCATCTTGCATTGCTGACCACTTCGTGCGGACGCCAGGCACAGTAGGCTTGGACACAGCACACTCATTGCTGAGAGGGGTTCATTCAGCATGGATTCAGCAATTCAGCATGCATAGCAGACAGGACTATCCAGTGGCCATGTTGCACGGCTGCTCGCAAAGCTGCAGAAGGAGCCAGCTCTCCCGCAGGTGCGGCTCTCACAGCTCTCGCTCTCCTTGCCAGCTGCAGCTTGCATCAGCTTGCCAGTTGTCGCGGGGCGGGGGAAGTATGATTGGGTAAATGCAGGCAACTTCAAAAAAGCACCGGTGAGAAAGCTGCACAAGTTCAGCAGCACAAAGGACCCCAAAGCGCTCGGAGCACTCCTGCCATCGCTGACGAAACCGGGCACAGGCGCACAAGATTTCATCTTCATTCCATGGCGGTTTCGTCCAGAGCGACAGGGTCTCTGAGAGCCACTTCACATAAGTTGGCAGAGGAGGCCTGGGAGGTTGAGCAGCGTCCGCAGACACCTAGCATTCCTTGGCAACGATTGAAGGCAAAGGGTCGACAGAAAGCACGCGCCAGAACTTCTCGGAGGCTTGTACAGCCGCTCACATTTGTGGATGGTCACCAATTTGTTCTGAAGCATAGCTTGCTATCTAGAAGGTTTGGCAGCTGGTCTTTAAGTACCTTGCAGCAGCAAAGGCATCACATGTTTGAGAGGCGAGGCATCACGGCTGCTGGCAAATTTGATGGGCACAGTTTCCTTGGTCGTGCGATTCGTCCTGCAATGTTCCGCAGCCTTCCTCTCCAAAAGTGTGGAGGGGACGTCTTGGCCAGCCCCTCCATGGGCAATGGCGAAGCTGGGAGCATAGCTTTCATCGTAGGTGCCGGGCGAAGTGGCTCTCGTCGCGCGATAGCAGCAGTTCCTTGAGGCTCCCAGCCGCAATGAAGCCACAGGCCAGCTGGGACAATTGTGCGGCATTTGACAGGGCAACTGAGGGGCAGATCTGTGTGTGCAGTGCGCAGGGGGGTCGATGGCTTCCATTTCAAATACTTGTGTCAATCCCTCAGTGGGCGAGCAGTAAAGCGAAAGCCCTGGAGAGCAGGACAAGAATACACGCATGCAGCTTGTCAAGGTGGGCATCTTTTCTTAGCGTGGGTTTGGCAGCGAAGCAGCGCCTTCGTCAGGGTGTTGGGAGCTTATTGCGTGGGCACACCAAACTTCTTTGGACGCATACTTGTGATCCGGTATCTCAAGTACTGTGCGCTGCTCCTGCAGCACTGTAACCGGGACAACTGTGCGTACTCCTAACAGATCTTAACAGGCAGTGCAGACATGCTTGCAAGGCCTTGGAATCCAAGAGCTTTGCAGGCTGGCTCCAAACTTTGCGCACCTCTCTAGCTATGTGCGTGTGCGAGATCTCCCGCTGCCTGAAGGAAGTCGCGTGGCAACGATGGAGGCAAACGGCTCAGACTGTGAAGTGGCAATTACCCAAGCCAATGCAAATTTCCATGTTGAGCAGTCTTTAGATGTCTTTGGGCTGTGCTGCCTCTCGTTCGAATTGAAACCATGCCAGGAAGCGTACAGACTGCTGGAAAGCACCATCCTCGTTTCGGACGAGGAGGCACCCAAAAACACTTTCCATTCACTCGATGAGCACTTGTCATATTATGCGTGTAGAATTGCTTTGAAGGGGTGGTGGTGCCCGAGGTCGAGCGACGCATCTTGAGCCGCATGGAACAGTCCGATGCTTACCGAGTGCCAGGGTGGTTTTCCACAAGCGAAGTCCAACTAGTGGACGTCACTCCCGGACCCACTGTTGAAAGCCCTCTCGAAGCACAATCCGCCCGGGTGCAAAAACTCCTCTGAACTTGGGGCTGGCTTCAAGTGGCGTTTTTCTCTCTGGAGCAAGACTCAAGAGGAATACTTGTCGCAGTGTCATCCATAATGAAGACAGCTTCGGGTACGTGAGCTGGTTTTATCGGCGTCTTATTGCTATACTTGTTGAGCTGTCAAACCTGGTTCGGGTGTGCAAAAGTGTGTGCATATGTCATGATACATCATGCATGATGTGAAAATTGCAATAACGCCAACTTGTGGGCGACAGACGGGCGCAGGGCCACTCAACACGTGGATGCGGCTGACCATGCGCAGAATGTTGAGATGGACTGGTGCACCTGCGACAGACCACTGCCGCACCTTGTTGCTTTGCTATCAGTCTCCACGGCTAACTCCGTCGAGGACCTTTTCGGCGTCTCGGTAGCCTTGCTGGAGTTGGCTGGACGCGATCCCAGCCACAACGACACAAAGGACCTCTTTGCCTCAAGCTTAGCCGCACAACCACCTCAAGTGTCCCTACAAGCTTAAGATTCGTTTGTGCGAGGTCGACAATATGAGGAACCTCGTAGACGAGTTGCAGGATCATATCCACTCCTCCGTGGGTCCCCACCAGGAGCTGGCATGGGCGTTTAGCTGTGAAGTAAACTGGATAGATTCGGATTCGGACAGATATCCTGTTGCTCAAGCTGTTTCACCAGCCACTGCCGGGCTGGTTTGGAGAATGAATTGGAAAGCAGAGTGGCCTGGCACGGCAGACTAAGTAGCGAGGGCCGCAGAAATGCTTGCTGAGCGGCCCTGCTCCATGGAAATCCTTTGGATATCGGACTTTCGACAAGTGTTGTGATGAGTGACTTGTTAACACTTTGACATGAACAGAGCGGCTTGGAAATTGAGGTGATGTGGCAACTGTTAACATGGGCCATACATCTCGCAGTGCAGTGGGGGGCCATTGCGCCAACATCCCCAAGAATCGAGCAACCGTAGAATGCATTTATTCGGGGCAATGCAGTTCAGAAGCGCGCTGATTGAGATGCTTGTGACCTGCTGCAGAGTTCCCTGTATCTTGGAGGAGTACCTGAACGGCGTGTATAGCAGCTTCAAGACATGTGCCAGCGATCTGGACGCGAGCCTGTGCGCGGTCTGCAAATATGGCTGCCTGACGTTACATCTTGAAGCTCAGAGCTGTCAACATTCAGCCTCCTGCTACGGTACCATTTTGCCTATGATGTCTACCAAGGGCTGAAGCTGCAAAGCGAAACAGCACAGCGCGCGCCCTGGATTTTTGGTTTTTTTCTGCGCAGAGCCACTGTACATGACCATGATGGAAAGATCTGCTGTATGTTGTTCTGGTAGTAGCCGCTTTGAGGTCAACCTCGGCCGCCTGGCGCATGAGCGCTGCAGAATTGAACAAGCAGAGGCATTTGTGATATGCCAGTGGTATCCAGTGGTAGCCTGAACATGCTGCGAGCGTTCGCGGTTGAAGGGCGAGTTCTCCAGCTCCGGTAGACTCTCTGCGTACACACACCCTATGAATCCAGAACAGCTTGTGCCAGTTTGGGTAACTATTCGCTGAAGCGGGCCGCATTCTCTGTCCAAAAACAAAAAACACCTGAAGCGTCATCGATCTGTTCGCCTGCTCTTTGCTGAAAGCAAACACGCTGGCGAAGGGAAGCAGCTGACTAGTATCCTGTGGTCAAAGGATGTGACGTATTGGACCTTGCATTTCAGGCAAAGAAAGTGTTGGCGACGTGTGAGATGGCAAAGCAGGATCTCGCAAAGGCCATTCGTAGCGCGTAGCACACGCAGCTGTCGTGTCTGTGCCTTCATGCGAGCTGCAAAAGACGCGAGGTGGATGAGTGTGCAGCTTGGCCGGAGGTGCAGGCGCGGGAACGTGCGGAAACGTGCAGCAGACTTTGCGACAGACCTTGTCTTGTTGCATCGCGGTGGAAGAACTATTTGCCTTCCAGGTCACGCCCGTTGCAGATGCTGGGTCGGCCTGCCTGAAGACGGTTTCTGGGGACCGGCTTCGAGGGGTGCATGATGCGTGAAGACCCGTGAACATTCTGGAATCAAAGACGGGTACGTGGCAGGAGTCCTATGAGGCTTATCTTCGCAGGATGAAGCCAGAAACTTGAGCTTGGCGCACACGTTGGTAGAGGACCGGTGAAAGCTTAAGCGTCCCAACGTCGCCAAGTGCAGGTCACACTGGGACGAGCAGCTCTCCAAGTACGAGGCTACAAAGGCAATGCATCGTGCAACATAGTTTCAGCTTCCAACATACAAGGCGAGCACATATTCGGTTCCTTAGGAATATATGGCCGAGCGTGTGCGAGCGTGTGTGTATACACAGTCGCATATTGGGTGTTCAAGTGGGGAGGTCATAAACGAAAATTCTACCACGTGTCTAAAATGCACAGGACAAGATCAATTAATCAGAGCAGATGTCTCCAAGCATGTGTGTTACCCTTGAGCTTAAGCTCGCTAGGGGTTGCAGGGCTGATGTTGTACCTGCGTGTTCTTTGATCGAGACAAGTCAAATGCGTTCAGGCACGCTGTGCAACCCGAACCATCGATCCTGCCAAGGAGAGCTGCTTGCCGCTCCGTGTTTTCCATGTTAACAGCTATCAGATGGCTTGTGCGTGTAGTCCAGCTTGCACCCTTCCCGCAATGGATGGTTAGTGGGAATCACAGAATGGACGTGAAGGCGTGCTGTTTGGCCAGGACTGCTCCCAGGAAAAGGCCTCCCTTTGCTTTCTGGCTACGCTGCTCCATGCCATGCTGACTGGAGATTTCTCGTAAGAAGAGGTCTTCCATGCTTTTATGTACCTGCTTTTTTGTGTTTTTTGCATTCTCTGCTCTGGCCAACCGGTGAGCGAGCGAGCCAGACAGCAGGCAAGCACAAACAAGTCCAAGCAAGCAAGCAAGCAAGCAAACACAGCATGCAAGCCGAGTCTCTATTTCCAAGCTGAATCTCATCGTAAAATCAGTGAGAGACAAGTACCACCATAGTTACGATGACATTTGTTTTACCTACTTATGATCATTGCTCCTATTATTCTACCGCCAACATTGACTGCGATATGGATCTTACCAGCGTTGTTCTCTTGTTCTAACTAGTTCTGATAGCATCCTCAACGTGATTCTGATAACTTCTTTCCTGGTAGCAGGATCACTCGTGCACCGGCGGATATGAGTAGTTTTGAGATGTTTTGATATTCCAAGGTTTTTCAGCTCTGCAGCTTAGAATGATACTGCATTTTCGCATCTTCATTTTTTTTGGAAATGGAGGGCATCTCCAGCCCCCCAGCCCCCAGCTGCTTGTACAAGACCAGAACGATGCCTGACAAATCACATCAATACTTAGCAACACGACGCCTGTTCTCATCTTCATCCATGTTTTGCGACTGGCTTGCGCCCCCCCCCCCCCCCCCCCC